AGCAGGCAAGACAAAAAACCTCAGAAGAGAACAAACCTGTCAGACTCCTTAATGTTTACTGCAAGAGAAAATTAATTATTTTTAACGCATACTAAACCATACTAATCATAGAGCAGAGAGTGTGAATCTCTCTAATCCCCCAATTTCTGGGTCTGCCAAGTCTGTAAAAGATTTTTTTCCCTTACCAGCAGGTTTGAGTGTTACAGTTTCCAGTACCCCACATAAATGACAATACTGAAATAGCACTAGCCCTTGATATAGTACTACTACATATATAACCTTGATACAGAACCCATAGAGACTGGGGTCTGTATGCTTCTATACTTTCCAAAGCGATGAAGCAAAGTCAACAAGTCTTGTCCTCCATGTTATTTTACAAAGTTATTCTAATCAAATACTGTGCCAGTGGAATCTAAGAACAACAAGATTTTGAATCATAGTGTTATTTCACATTTTCAAAACACATGAGCCCCTCCAGCTGCTACGGTAGTATGCAGGATCGTAAGTGACAAAGAATCAGGGCTTGCAACCAAACATTCCTGTGCAGATCTCAAGAGATGCCTAAAGGAACACCTAGGCCAGCAGTTCTTACAACATTTTCTAATGCTCAGGAGGAGAAAAATTAGTCTTTTGGCTAGCAGATGAGTCTGCTAACAACAGAAGAGGGAGAGAGTTAGTGAAGACTACAAGTAAAAAACCACGAATATCACCTTGAAGAGAAAGAGACCACATACGAAGCAGCTGAGCATGTTCAGAAAAAATATCTGCCTTTCAAGTAGGTATTTTGGAAAAGAGTCCTTATTCCCTGCGCCACTACATTCAGACCATCCTGGCTATCAGCACCTGTGTACTTTACCTATAATTTAACTTGTTAATTGCAGAAAGGAACGGAATGCATCTCCATTATCGCAGCAAGTCTGGTGGAGGAGGATAAAGCATAACACAAATTATCAAAATGTGCATTGCAAGTTTTCAAAATGCAAGATTTAAGCGTCCTGTCTGGTGTTAGAACAGAAGTATAAATCCCTTTAAAACAGTCTGCATGCAAAATAATTTTATTGGGGCAATTATATGAAATATTTTATTATAAATATGAAATCCAACAAACAGCCCCAATTATATCCCCAAGAGAGCCCAAATCTGTAATTTGAAGGCCCAAAGACTGCTACCACTTGAATCACAAGAGTAAGCGTTTCCCTCCCTACACATAGCAGCCAAAGGAAGACTGCACAGAAACGTATCGGTGAAACACTGTATTCAATCCAGAGGTCTATTCTGAATGTGGTAAGGGAGAACCACTCGTAACAACGGATCACTGGCCTGCTTCGCAACGCAGCAGAAAAGAAAACCGCATGCAGCTGACACACAGAACATCCTCCTCATCCAGCACAAAGGCAGGTCTGTGCTTCACTTGAGGTTTAGTTCTAGGGTTCTACCTCCTCCGGAAAAAACTCAGGTTTCTGCTACTCTAGTATTCTCCACGCTGTTCCTCCTTTTAAGAGCAGCATAAAAGCTTTAAGTTCTTTAAGTTTCACAAGGGTTTTTTTTGTTTTTGAAAAAAACCCACAACTTACCATTTGAGATATTATTACATACCAGTGAAACTTATTAAGCTTTGTTATTTTTAATCTGCAGCTTCTTAAACCAGGAGTAATATACTGGAGAAGCCTCCGAATTAGGAAGACAATGGTGAATTAACTCACTTTGTAAGTGTTGCTTTGGCTGCTTTTTGCTTTCCTACCAAAAGAAAAAAAAAAAAAAGACATCTACAGATGTCTTTGCTGTTTTCCACAATTCTAAGGGAAAAAAAATCCACCCTTCTTACCCTAGGTATCAGCTTTTCCCCCTCACTAACACTGTTCATGTAACAAAACATTTTTTTTAAAATCCTTTGTTTACATTTGTGTTGCCTATGTGCTTCATAAAAGTTTGGGGAAACGATGAAAGTTCAGATCTGCAGAACAGTAGAAACAAAGACAACTAAAGGCTCATACTTTAAATTCAGAACCGTTGGCCATCTTTCACAGTACAGCACTTATCTACCCCAAACATCTTGTTACCTCATTCTTCACCACCATCTCCTGTGAGACAGTGCCAGACCTACACTTCACCTCGGTGTAGCGTCTCATCTGACTCAGAGTCTGAAGTCTTTATGAACATCTTACTCATTTTCCTAGCTGTACTTTTGCACTTACACAACTGTCTTTCAAGAACCTCTGCATTCTGAATTTCCATAGTCCAAAACACAGTTGCGGGATTCTGCCTGTATTTTAGCTAAGCAGCATTTCACTGCATGTTTTCACCTGTTCTTTCACACCCTGCCTCTGTTGTCACCCTGATTTTAAACTTTCTGAATTTTCTCATCTCAAAGTCTTTGGATTTTTCCCTGGAACTGTCAACACTTCAAAACACTTTCATATCTTTTCCAGCTCTAGATTTTCCTGTTTTTTAAAATATGAATAAAGTGGTACCTTGCAATATGAAAATCCAGCGGAAAACCACAAAGGAATAGTTCAAGTAATTTTGCACGCACACACACAGGTTTTAAGAATAATATTGGGAAAAGAATCTATAGTAATCTCCCACAACAGCACCTCTACTTTCGTTCTTATAAGGAGGGTTTACTTTTAAATGCAGCAAAATTTACAGTAGCTAAAGCTTTTATATCTTTCACAGAACAGTAGGCTTCTCCACACCTGGCCCAGGAAGGGGCCTATCTAAAAAGAGTTCAGATACAAGGATAGCAACAACTTTTACTACTCAAGAGCAGAGCACTCAAGTTCTCTGTGTCTCCCTACTACAAGCACAGGCACACCCTGTCAACTGTTTAGTACACAGCAGGGAGGAGTAGAAACTGAAAATAATACACAGAGACTTTGAGGTGGAAGATGACAATGTTGAATGAATTATGTTGGAAATACTAATTTTGAAATTAATA